TACCCCCATTGACCTGCGATCAGCCTACTGTGATCCACCCTGGTCCCCACAGCAGCCTGGATGAGTCTCCTGTTGCGGCTGTAACAAGTAACCACAACTTAGAGGCTTAAAACAAAAAAACCTGTTGCTGTAGAGTCAATTCCGATTCATAGCGACCCCACAGGACAGAGTAGAACTGCCCCATAGGATTTCCTAGGCTGAAATCTTTACAGAAGCAGACTGCCACATCTTTCTCCTGCAGAGTGGCTAGTAGGTTTGAACTGCCAACCTTTTGCTTAGCAGCTGAATGCTTAACCACTGTGCCTTAAAAAAAAAAAAGGAACTAATTGCCATCAAGTCAATCTTGGCCTTGGCGATCCTGTGTGTGTCAGAGTACAACTGTGCTCCACAGGGATTTCAGTGACTGATTTTTCACCAGGCCATTCTTTCAAGGCACCCCTGGATACACTTGAACCTTTAACCTTTTGGTTAGTAGCCAAGCGCATAACCGTTTGCACCACCCCGGGACTCCAGAGGCTTAAAACCACATGTTTGTTCTCCTATAGTTCTGGAGGTCAGATTCTAAAATGGATCCCAGGACCAATTCTCCCAGGGGAAAATCTCTTCTCTTGCCTTTTTCAGCTTCCGGAAGCCACTCACACCCTTCAGCTGGTGGCCCCCTCCTCCTTCCCCAAATCTGAACCTTCCTATCTCTCTGTCCCCTGCTTCCGTCATCATGTGATTGCCTCCGACTCTCACTTCTGCCTCCCCCCAATAAGGGTGATTACGTGGGGCCCACCAGGTAATCCAACATAACCCTCATCTCAGGATCCTTCCCTTGACTTCATCTGCAAATTCCCTTTGGCTGTGTGAGATCACATGTTCTCACGTTCTGAGGATTAGGACGGGGACATCTTGGAGGGCCATTATTCAGCTGACCACATGGCCCTTTAAACATTGGGCAATGGTGATTCTGAAGGCCCCCTTTCCAGGGGAAATATTAACTTTCCTGTGGAGACACCTGACAGACACCAGGGTGCCCAAGTGACCCGGGTGACTTCTTCACCGTGGTGAGTCACGTGACGTCAGGTACCCCAATTCAACACAGGAGGGAATCCCTCCCCCAAAACCTACAACCCCAGTCTGACCATGACAGAAACAGCTGACAGACCCTGACTGGGTTATGTTCAAGGACCCGCAGCCCATCCTCACAACTGCCAAGGTCACAACAAGGAGAGGCAGAGGGGCTGTCACAGACAGAGGGGACAGAGAGGTGCCCTGAATGGGACCCCGGACAGAGAGAAATGAGTGGGAAAGCTGGTGAAGTCCAGGTAGTCAGGGATTTAGTTAACAGTCACGTGAGGATATGGATAAGGATAATGTTCCACCAGGAGTCCCTGGGTGGCACAGTTAAGCACTGGACTACTAACTGAAAGGTTGTCAGTTCAAACCTTCTCAGAGGTGCCTTGGAAGAAAGCCCTGGCAATCTAATTCTGAAAGGTCACAGCCTTGAAAACCCTATAGAGCACAGTTCTGCTCTGCACGCATGGGGTCACCCTGAGTTGGAGTCCACTCAACCACAGATAACAGCAACAATAATGTTCTGCCCCCACCTGCTGGAGTCCCCAGGAGCCACCTGGCAGCCAATGCCCCACAGGGCCCCTTCTTGAACCTGTGGTGGTGACATTTTGGGGTTTTAGCCACCCTGTTTTCATTTTTATTAGGTACCACTGGCCCTAGTGCCACTTTACTAACTCATTGCTCACTGTGGGGACCCAGAGCCTCAGGGACGCTGGGAAGTGTCCACGGGAGGCCGAGTGCCCCGGACAGAGGGGCAAGGGCCTCAGGCCCTCCCGCCAATACAACTGTATGTGCACCACTGGAATTGGGTGCCAGGTGTCCCATCCTTGGCCAGCTGGCTCCTCTCTCCTGCATATGGCATCCAGTCCCTGCATGCCTGATTATTTAGGCTGACCCCAGGGTCTCCAGCTTTTACCTATAATTACTTACAGAACTCTGCGAGGCCCAGCTATCCCCTTCTCCCAAACTTGATTCCCATGGGCATCTCTGGGCCCCCCATCCTCCAAGCTGAAGGCCCCCAGCAGCCAAGCCGCAGTCTCAGGGTGGTTCCTCCCAGCACCTTCTCCCTGGCAGCCCTACGGCATCCAGCCCACAGCAGGGCTGGCTAACCCTGGGCCCCCTCCATGGTCCCAAACCTGACTTCCGTCCCCTGCCCTTGGGGCTGCCTCTTCTGTACTGGCTCAGGTTCCTAGGGGGATGACTTGACCCTCAGGGCTCCTGCTCCACCCCGGCCAGCCCAGGGGTCCCTACTACTGCCCCCAGACACTTTTACAAAGAGGCTGTTCCTGATTGTGCTGTCTGCAAGGGTCCTCAGCCTTTCCCTGATGAGTGCTTCCTTTGGGTTAAGGGAAGCCCTGCTAACCATAAGGTTGGCAATTCAAGTCCACCCAGAGATGCTTGTAAGAAAGATCTGGCGATTTACTCCCGAAAAATTATCCATTGAAAACCCTATGGAGCACAATTCTACTTTGACACGCAAGGGGTTGCCATGAGTTAGGGTCGATTCAGGGACACTGGTATTGATGGGGGTCTTGGTGAGGAATAGATTCCTCGGCCTCCCCATTGCTCTGCTCCCTGCTGCAATAAGTACCTGTGTTCTTGGCCCAGCTCAGCCCTCCACGTGGCCTTGGGCAAGTACTTAAGCTGCCTGACCTTCAGCTTCCGCATCTGTAAAGCACAGCTAACATGGGTCAAGGCTGGGCAGATTAAAGGACTGGGGTCAAGGAATTTAATGGACAATACTTGCCAGTGTGCCAAGACCAGGCCATAGGCTGTGAGCATCTGTCTTGACCCCATTCTTACCCTGGGGAGTCCTTTGTCCTGGTTTCCTCAAATCATTTTAAAAAACTTTATTTTCAAATAATTTTAGACTTACAAGAAAAGGTACAAAAGTAATGGAAAGTTCCCATCCACCATTGTCCTGGCTTTCCCCAGTGTTAGCGTGTTACATGAGTATGGTAAAAATAAAACCCAAACCTGCTCCATCTAGTGGACTCCAATGCATGGTAGCCCCATGTGTGTCCGAGAAGCGCTACGCTCTGTAGGGTTTTCTTGGCTTTAATCTTTACGGAAGCAGATTGTACCACCTAGGGACCTTATATGATCATGGTACCATGATCTAAACCTGAAAATGAGCATTGATGTAGTACTACAAGCATGGGAACAGTGGTGGTTGAGTGGTAAAACTCTCTCTCAGCAGGAGACCTGGGTTTTGTGTCTGACTTCTTTCACTCAGCATGTTTTTGAGGTTCATTGATGTCATGGATTGAATTGTGTTCCTATAAACTATCTGTCAACTTGGCTGGGTCATCATTCCCAGTATTACATGATCGTGTACCATTTTGTAATCTGATGTGATCTCCTTATGTATTGTAAACTCTGTCACTATGTTGTAATAAAATGGATTAACGGCAGTTATACCGATGAGGTCTACAAGATTAGATAGTGTCTTAAGCCAGTCTTTTTTGAGATATGAAAGAGAGAAGCGAGCAGAGACACACTGGAACCTCATACCACCAAGAAAGCAGTGCTGGGAGCAGAGTGTGTCCTTTGAACCTGAGGTTCCTACGCAGAGAAGCTCCTAGACTAAGGGAAGATTAATGACATGGACCTTCCTCCAGAACCGACAGAGAGAGCATTCCCCTGGAGCTGACACCCTGAATTTGGACTTGTAGCCTACTGGACTATGAGAGAATAAATTTCTCTTTGTTAAAGCCATCCACTTGTGGTATTTCTGTTACAGCAGCACTAGATGACTAAGACAATTGTTGTTGTGACATGTGTCAGGACTTCATTTCTCTTTATGGCAGAGTAATATTCCATTGAATGGATGGACTACATTTTATTTATCCATTCATCTCTTGAGGGACCTTTGAATTGTTTCCACTTTTTGGCTATTGTGAATAGTGCTGCACTGAATGTTGGTTTACAAGTATCTATTTGCATTCTGCTTTCAAGTCTCTTGGGTATATGCCTAGGAGCAGAATTGCTGAGCCATAGGGTAACTCTACCTTTAACTTTCTGAGGAACTGCTAACTGTTCAGGGCCTATTTTTAAGTAGGAAAAAGCTAGTCCCAGAGAACATGTTCAGCATAATCCCATTGATACTCTTTTAACACATAACTCAGTGTTATGCGTGGGCATTAGCATGGGGAGATGGCTAAGGGACATCCAGAGGCTGGCAGGACGCTCACCATCTGCTCTGGGGCCTCTGTGTTATTTACAGTAAATCATATCAATTTATTGTATGATTACAAATGCGGGAACTGAAGCTGGCAGCGTCTCAGTCATGCCTGTTCCCTGTCCTCTGCCCTCTGTCCTTTAGACCGTTTGGCCTGGACAGTGGGACACTTGTTGTGCTTTGCTGAGCTTTGCCTGCACCTCAAGGTGAGCGCAATGTGCACCTCCTGGAAGGAGCCCTGAGATGTCAAAGAGCAAGGCGCCATTTCATAGTGAAAAATCAATTTTCTGGAAGTATTTATGTGAATGAACTAGGGCCCTTGTCCACACAGCCCAGTGAGGGGGTACGTTGAGGGGCCGGGTAGATGAGCTCTCTTGGCTCCATGCTTATCTGTGCTGGTGACGAGGAAGTGTGGGTGCTCCCCCTCCCTGCCCATACCCCCAGCCTGTCCCTCCTGCAACCTCAGGGAAACAGCTTAGCCTCTCTGAGCCTGTGGGCTCTGCTATGGCACCGGGTTAAAAAACAAACTACTCAGAGGTCAGTTTGTGAGGCTCAGACAGCAAGAGGGCTCTCGTCAATCATTAAACCATAATGCCAGGGTGAGGGTCAGGATGTGGGGCGGGTGCCGTCCCTTGCGGGAGACAGTGGCCAGGCAAGGGGAGGAAGGGAGCTGTGTCTAGATAACTGGGGATGAATTGCGGTGCCGCGTCTTACCACCCCTCTGTCCCCCAGGACCAAGGCTCCGCCCAGCAGGCCTGGGATGGGTAATGGTGTGAAGGAGGCCACGGCACACCTGCCGGAGGATGCTGAGCCCACCCTGCGTTCAGCCGTCTCCAAAAAGGCAAGTATGCACTCTCTCAATGCCCCCTCTCCAGTCCCCGACTCTGTCTTGCACTCCCTCAGAGCTAACCTCTGCCTCTCTCTACATGATGTCACCAAGTCATGGTCCGTCATCATTCATCCACTGCCCAGGACCCGCTCTTGCACCCACAGCCCGTGTGATGGGCCTGGCATGGCTCGGGGGAGGTTTGGGGCTGGCAGGGTGGTGGGTAGGGGACTCTGGCTCCTGATGTGAACCCCACTGACACAGATTTGTCTGGGAAGCTGGCATGAGGAAGGGCTTTAGAGCCACTTTTCCTCCCTCACTTGTGGATACTAAAGATCGAGCCAAGCAGTGGCTGAGCCCTTCCCATGGGATTGCCCAACTTGTCTTATTTGCAGGTGGGGGGGCAGGGATGACCGTGGGGAAGCTGGGATGACCAGGGGTACAGGGGGGGCAGGGAAGGAGGCCATCGGGGGCCTAGATGGCTTTGTGGGGGGGCTTGGGGGGGCTGGAATGGCCATGGGGGGTTTTCCCTGAGCCCTGCCATCTACCCCTGATTCCTGCACATGAATTGAAGAGGTGTTCCTCCAAAAAGAGTCGTCCAGCCTGTGCTATTTGTTCACCCTAGAAGCAGAAGCCCTGGCTCCACCTGAGCCACAGACTGACCTGACTACAGGAACCCGTCCCCACGCTTGCTGGGGCAGGACACAGAGTCCACTCTGCCAGAGGCCGCACTGGTGTCATCCTCCAACCTATCGCCGGATTTCAGGTCACGCTGCTGAGCACTGGGCAGGCAGGTTCCCACTCGCCCAGGGAGTCACTGCTCCTAGTGCTGTATGAGGGAGGCAGTGGGGGGCGGGACCCAAGGTGGGCACTTCCTTGGTGGTTTAGTGAACTTCCCTACTGAACTCTCAGATTCAGAAGATTTCATTTGACTTGTCTCAACCATCAACGCCCATGGAAGCAGCAGTGAAGAAATCAAATGATGACAAAGAAAACTAAAGACACAAGGAAAGAGTCGTCCAAAGGACTAATGGAGCACAACCACCACGCCCTCCACCAGACTGAGTCCAGTACAGCTAGATGGTGCCTGGCTACCACCACCGACTGCTCTGACAGGGATCATAATTGAGGGTCCTGGACAGAGCTGGAGAAAAATGTAGAACGAACTCTAATTCACCAAAAAAAGACCAGACTTACTGGCCTGACAGAGACTGCAGAAACTCTGAGGGTATGGCCCCCAGATACCCTTTTAGCTCAGTGATGAAGTTCACCCTTCAGCCAGAGATTAGACAGGCCCATAAAACAAAATGAGACTAAAGGAGCACACCAGCCCAGGGGCAAGGACTAGAAGGCAGGAGGGGACAGGAAAGCTGCTAATAGGGAACCCAAGATCGAGAAAGGAGAGTGTTGACATGTCGGGGGGTTGGTAACCAATGTCATAAAACAATATGTGTACTGACTGTTCAATGAGAAGCTAGTGTGCTCTGTAAACCTTTATCTAAAGTGCTGTAATAAAAAAATATTTAAAAAAATCAATGTATTGCATTGGGCAAATCTGCTATAAAAGACCTCTTCAAAGTGTTCAAAAACAAAGATGTCACTTTGAGGACTAAGGCATGCCTCACCCAAGCTGTGGTCTTTTCTGCTACATTACATGCATGTGAAAGCTGGACAGTGAAAAAAGGAAACAGAAGAAGAATTGATGTATTTGAACTGTGGTGTTGGCAAAAATCTTGAATCTACCATAGACTGCCAGAAGAACGAACAGGTCAGTCTTAGAAGAAACCCTACCAGAATGCTCCTTAGATACGAGGATGGTGAGACTTCATGTCATCAGGAAAGACCAATTGCTAGAAAAGCACATTGTGTTTGGTAAAGAAGAGGGTCAGCGAAAACAAGGGAGACCCTCCATGAGATGGATTGACACAATAGCTGCAACAATGAACTCAAATAATACCAACAATCATAAAGATGGCACAGGACGGGACAACGTTTCATTCTGTTGTACCTGGGATCACCATGAGTCGGAGCTGACTCCACGACAACTAGCAACAACTACGGAGCTCGGAACTCGAGACTGGAAGCATCTAGATGCTGTCACCCATCATATGCCGACCAGCAAGAGTTTCCGTGGAGTGAATTTTGCTGGAGGGAGCCATAGCGCTTTGAAGACTGGGGGTTCTGTGAGCACCAATGCAGTACCAACCAGAATCTCACCAGGATCAACCCGTCCGATGAGGAGATCCCTGCTCGAAGCCACGTTTCTCTGATGAAGAAGCTAGAGTCTTCTTTTGGGATTTATGCTACTGTATGTTTCACATGTGGCTCACCCACATCCCGTGGAGCTGTCTGCCTGTTCTCATCCACTCGTGGGGGTCCCTGTGGCGTCTGTCTGTGCTGCCCTAGCTGGGCCCTTTGAGTTATGAGGAAAGGAGCTGGAAGCCACCACCCAGGCAGCAGGCCCCCTCAGAGCATCTGTGTGTGTGTGTGTGAGAGTGAGTGTGTGTAATTGAAGGGGCGGCGTTAAGCTTTTAAGAGCCATGGGTGGCACCGCCCACGCACTGTTGAGGGAGAAGGGGCGCGTGGGATCCGTCTTGTTGATGTGATGGTCACGTGCTAGGCACTGCTTGTGGAGCATCCCCTCTGCATGAAGAGGTCCTGCGGTGGTGGTTGCTCATCTCACCCAAAAAACCCCACTGAGCTTCCCCTTGAACGAGGTGAGCCAGCGTCTGACCACACCTCTCGGAGCTGCTGCCTCTGGTTGCCTGGAAGCGTGACCGTAGGAGCCGGAAATGTGGATTCCCAGAGATGAGACCCCAGTTTTGGATTCTGGCTCTGGAGACTGGGGAGTTGGGCTGGGTAAGGAGATGGGGAAGGGTCTGGCCAAGGCTTGTGACGTCCAGGGGACAAGGAGAACAAGGCCTTGGGGACTGTTTCCATCCATGAGAGGATGCTAGAAACAGTGTCACTGCCGAGATGGGGCAGCAAGGCGATACATGAGAGCAGTGGTGCTGTGGCTGGCCACATCCCTGTCACCATCATCACAGTCACTGTTGTCACTGTCATCACCGCCATCGTCCCCACCACCACCATTATCACCACTGTTGTCCCCACTATATCATAGTCACTGTCAGGATCACCATTGTCACCACTGCCATCACCTTCACTGTTGTCACTGTCAGCATCATCACCATCATCACCATCCGTATTGTTGTCATCACCAACATCATCACCATCACCGTCAGCCCTCACCTTGACTGGATAACATTCTGGAGACGCCAACTGCTGACCGGAGATGTGGAAGGGGCTACACTGACCTACCCCCTCTCTTACCCTACATGACACGCGTGCCTGGTGGCATTGCCCTGAGGACACCGCAGTGGCTTGATGTGGCCAGGAGCCTGGGTGTACGCTTGGGTGGAGCCAGTTGCCCTGCAATCTGAACCCGAGAATCGGAGCCCACAGCTGCCCAGAAGCATGTCCCTCCCTCCCAGATGTCCTCTGGGCTGCGCACTTCACTGTCGAGTGCGGGGCCTGTGGTCTCTGGGCCTGGCCTGGGCTGTAAGAAGACACACCAGCACCCACGCGTGTCCCACTCCTCCTCTGAGCGATGCCCCCCTCATGCTGGTGTTCTGCACTTCCTTTCAGAGAGACCACCACGACGTGTTCAACTCCCTGCTGTCTGGGGCCCTGGCTGGTGCGCTTGCCAAGACAGCGGTAGCCCCCCTGGACCGAACCAAAATCATCTTCCAGGGTACAAGCCACCTGCCTGTCTGTGCATCTGTCTGTCTGTCAGCATGATAGAGAAGCCTCTGGGCTCCCCTTCCTCCTCAGTCTCCTCTCAGGGGCCTCTGAAGAGGAGGCCTTCCCTTTCCATGGCTGCACCCCTGAAACACTCTCTCCAGGCCATGCTGGGGGCTGAGGTCATGACCCGGGACCCTCCACCCTACAGTGGTTGAGAGAGAACCCGGCTCTTCCCACTGCAGCTGGTCTCAGCCTCTTGGTGCCTCGGTTTTCTCATCTGTAATGTGAGAGTGTTAATATCAATCTCCCTCACGTGTGAGGAATCAGTGACAGACACAGGACAGGACACGCACACGCACAAATGCACGCACATACACAAGTGTGCAGAGTGCAATCCCACACACGCCTACATGTGCATGCACACACGCGTACATGTGTGCACGCACACACACAGATGTGCAGGGCCTCAGGCCAGCAGGAGCACTGCAGGCCATAAGACCTTTGTCTTGGGGATCTGGGTGGACCCCTGACCTGCATGGCCTGGGTTTCTGGGTCTTTCCCATGAGCACTTGTACAAGCCCTGCTTGGGCCCACCATGTTCCGGAGCAAGGAGAAGGGGGCGCCGCTGGATCACTCTGCAGGGCCCTGCAGCTGCCCTTGGGAGCCACACCCCTCCGAGACCCTCTCCATCCTGGAGGGGTTGGACAGGGGCTACTTGCCTTTTAGGGATAAGTCTGGATGTGCAGAGGGGGAAGGACGGAGGGGGACTCTTTGGCAGCCACTTCTGAACTCCTGTGCTAAGAACAGCACAGATGTCGAGGGGGACACGCAGGGTGAGGGGGCATGCTAATGGGGGAGACATGCAGACTGGGGGGGCTTGCCAATGAGGAGGGAGTCATGCAGACATGTCCCTTGCGTCCTGACGGGCTCTGTGTGTTTTCTTCCAGTGTCTTCAAAAAGATTCTCTGCCAAGGTGAGGTGCTAGGTCACTGAGCCCAGGCTCCTCACACCTGCTGTCCTGCCCAATGGGGTTGGGGAGGAGGGGAATGATGCAGGAAAGATGCTTTCTCCTTGTGCACCGCCCCCCCTCCAGCCTTGGTGGTGGTGGCATGGGGGTCCCGGGCTGCTCAGGATGAGGAGGGGATGGGGTCCTCGCTGTGCCCCAGCTCTGCCGGGACATGCGCCCCTGCCCCCCACCGGGAATGCTCAGGTGCCCTGTGTGCCTCTGGGAGGGGGGCTGGGAGCTCGGCTTTCTGAATCCGACATCTTTGTGCGTGATTTTTTAACAGTGCCAGGCATTACCTTCTTAATACAGGAAACAATAAAGACTATTTTTTAAAGTCAGCCCTGTGGGGCTCTGGGCCCTGTTCGCAAACCTGGTCTCCTATGCATGTCAGAATTCCCGCGGGTGGGGGATGGGCAGGGAGGCATGTTCGTGGACGCTGTAGACCCCAGGTACAGGGTGGGATGCATGGACAAGGTGGACAGGGGCATAGGTTCATGGCAGGATGGTGACCTCTGACCCCCACCTCCAGGAAGCCCTCCGGCTGCTCTACTACACCTACCTCAATGAGGGCTTCTTCAGCCTGTGGCGTGGGAACTCGGCCACCATGGTGCGCGTGGTGCCCTACGCCGCCATCCAGTTCAGCGCCCATGAGGAGTACAAGCGGGTGCTGGGGCGCTACTATGGCTTCTGTGGAGAGTGAGGCCCCCCGACCCCTCCCTGGTCCCCTCCCTGGCCCCCTTCTCGGGCCCCTCCCCAACCCCACTCCCCAACCCCTCCATAGCCCCACAGGGCCCCAGAGCTGGGGAAGGACCAGGCACCCCCACTGAGATATGTCAGCACCCTGGGCCGGGCCTCTGTGTCTCTCTCTCTCTTGCTCTGTGTTTCTCTGTCTTGACTGTTTCTCTGTTTCCCTCTCTCTCTGTCTCTCTTTGTTTCCCTTGCTCTCTCTGTCTCTGCCTCTCCATCTGTCTCTCTCTCTCCATCTGTCTCTATCTCCCTCTCTTTCTCTGTGTCTTGCTCTCTCTCTGTTTCTCTGTCTCTCATTCTCTGTCTCTCCCTCTCTGTCTCTCTCCATCTTTCTATATCTATGTCTCTCTCTCTCCCTTGGGCTCTCACCCTTGTTGCCCCCACCCCCACCCCACCTGCAGGGACCTGCCTCCCTGGCCCCGGCTGCTCGCAGGCGCGCTGGCTGGAACAACGGCCGCCTCGCTGACCTATCCATTGGACCTGGTCCGCGCACGGATGGCTGTGACCCCAAAGGAGATGTGAGTCCTGACGGGCCGTGTCCCCTAAGGGTGAGAGCCACTCCCAAGGCCCCGGGGTGGATCTGGGCATCTGTGTCCACTGCAGAGGAAGCTCTGTGAGAATCCTAACCCTGGCTCTTGCCTAGCCTGGGCCGTGACTCTGCAGCCGTTCCAGAAAGCCTCTGATTGCTTTCTTGGACAGGCTCAGTGTCTGCAGGCTTCCTCTGGAGTTGAGCATAGATGCTTTAGTGCGTGTGCATGAGAAATAAGTGTTCAGCCCACGGGACGATCCCAGTGTTGACAAGGAAACAGAAGCTTCCATGTGTATGTCCCTCTGATTCCAAAGCTGCTGCCCGTGGCTCTGTGGCCTAATGGTGGAGTGTCCATGCTGCAGACACAGACCCAGTGCCTGGAGGAGCAGGTGGTTGTGAACCTCGGCCCCTGCCCTGGTGGCTGACACACCCACAGCCTGCCTGCCTGCTTTGTCCTGCAGGTACAGCAACATCTTTCATGTCTTCATCCGTATCTCCCGTGAGGAGGGGCTGAAGACCCTGTACCACGGCTTCACACCGACCCTGCTGGGTGTCATTCCATACGCAGGGCTGAGCTTCTTCACCTACGAGACACTCAAGAGCCTGCACAGAGGTGAGGGGTGTGGGGCAGGGCTGGGCCCTGGCACCCATGAGGTCATGTATCCACCAGAGGAACCTGGGTACTGGCACTGAAGGCCTTTAAGAGACACCCCCCAGTATCTAGTGTATTGTCCTGAGCGCTGGCTACACCTTAACACCCACATGCATGCTCACACACGGTCAGGTTCATACACCCACACACACATGCACGCGTAGCATGCGGGTAGAACCAAGATGTCAGGAAATGCCCTTTTGTTTTGATAATTTTGAGAAAATCTAGGAATACATAAAACTACAGAGAATACTACAAGAATGCTCATACCAGCATGGACAGTTATTACCATGTTGCCTCAAGATGCTTTTTTTAAAGAAAACGATGCAGGTAAGTCCCAGCTGTCCCCTCCTCAGGCTTCATTATTAGAAATGTGGAGGGTATCCCTCAAGCTGGTTTTAAAAATACATCTGCATGCACATATGTATGTTGTTAGCAGTACATTGTAACATGTCATGGTTATAGAAGTGACACACGCAGGGTCGCTTCACACAGGCTCCGTTGGCACATCTTCCCCTGGAGCTGGTGTCTGGGTGCCCTGTGGTGGGTGTTCCTCACTGGGGCTGGGGGTGGTGTTTAGGCTGGCTCTTAGTCTCCTGTGGTTGCCTTGACAAAGTACCACAAGTTTAAAGCCACAGATTTCAGGCTTTAAAGAACAGAAATTTACTCTCCCAGTCTGGAGGCAGAAAGGGTGTCGGCAGGACCATGCTGTATCTGCTGGCTCTAGGGGAAGACCCTTCCTGGTGGTCCACGTGTCCCTTGGCCTTTAGATGTATCTTCATGTGGCATCTTCCCATGAGTGACTCTGTCTCTGTGTCTGTTTCCCCTTTTATAAAACATCACTCCAAAGGGATTAGGATTAGGACCCATCCTACTCTGGTATGACCTCATTTAATTTACTGATAACAAAAGAAAAACCCTATTTCCAAACAAGGTCGCCTGCACAGGTACAGGGGTTAGAACTTCCACATATCTTTTTGATATTAATTTCGGAATGCTTGGTTAATCATTTGCTATGGAGCTGATTCTGACTCAGGGCAATTCCATGTGTGTCAGAGTAGAACTGGTCCATGGGGTTTTCAATGGCAGATTTTTTGGAAGTAGATTGTCAGGCCTTTCTTCTTAGGTGCCTCTGGGTGGACTTGAACCTTTGGTTAACAGCCAAGTGCGTTTGCAGTTTACACCACCCAGGGGCTCCCACGTATCTTTTTGGAGGACACAATTCAGTGCACAGCAGGCTGTTTCCAGTTTTCCTCTGTAACCTGCCAACCCCGGGAGCATGTCTTCTCACACTGTCGACTGTCTCAGTTTCCCTCACCCGGCAGTCATTCTGGCCACTTGGACACGCCCTTTCTCCACATTCTGGGCCACACGGGTATTGTCAGACCCCTTAACGTTTTTGCCAGTCTGGTGAGCAAATGATGTTCTCTCATTGTTTTTAATTCTTAGTTCTAAATTCATAGCTGATTTTTTTTAATAGATTATTTTTTAGAGCAGTTTTAAATTTATGGACAGATTGTTCAGAACATCCAGAGTTCTATATGCCCTTTCCCCCCTGCACAGTTTTTCCTATTATTAACACCTGGCGTTTGTGTGGTACATTTGTTAACATTGATGAACCAGTATCAATACATTATTATTAGCTAAAGTTCATAGTTCCCATTAGGCTTCACTCTTTGCAGCTGAACTTTAAGAATCCCTGTTGATTGGCTGGTGCCAGCTTCTTTCTCCATTGTGCCTCACAGGGGCCTCTTTCCTTAAAACCCGCGGGGCCCTGGGGCCTCTGTGTTGTTCACAGTGAGGTATGAACATTCCGGAAACATTTCTAAGGCACCCTGGGAGGAGTAGGCAGTGGCGAGGAGGACGCAGACAGGGAGGTATTTTCTTTACCAGACCAATCCAGGCATGACTAGATGTGAACAGCGCCTCCCTCTGGGTCTTAGGACTTTGTTATAAGATTCTTTGTGCTTTTTGGCGTATGTATTTCTCAAATTTGTTTAAAAAGGCATAATTAGGAGGAGAGCAGTGGCGGCACGTGTGAGCCCTGGTGGAGAGGAGGAGGGGGAGCGGGCTTGGTGTTGACACACAGCCCTGCCCTGTTACATTTGACGGGCAGGCGCGGGGTGGGCATGGGCACAGGGGGCTTGTGTAGGTGCATGTGTGAGGGAGTGCGCGTGTGCACATGTGTGTGCGTGAGCTCTGTGTGTTGGAGCGCTGCATGCTCAGCACTCACCCTGCTTGCTCCTGCAGAGTACAGCGGCCACCGGCAACCCTACCCCTTGGAGCGCATGATCTTCGGGGCCTGCGCCGGTATCATTGGACAGTCGGCCTCGTACCCGTTGGATGTAGTGCGGCGTCGTATGCAGACGGCAGGCGTCACGGGCTTCCCGCGCACCTCCATCGTGCGCACAATGGGCACCATCGTGCGCAAGGAGGGCGCCGTGCGCGGCCTCTACAAGGGCCTGAGCATGAACTGGCTCAAGGGTCCCATCGCCGTGGGTATCAGCTTCACCACCTTCGACCTCATGCAGATCTTGCTGCATCGCCTGCAGGGCTAGGCTGGCATCTCGGGGCACGGGGAACCTGACCCCTTGTTTCCTGAGCCCTCGGAGAGCTGTCTGAGGAAGGGTGCAGCGCCTCTGAGACCCACTCGCCGGCCCTGAAGTGCAGTAGCGGGACGGGGGGGGAGAGGGGTGCTGTTCCCGAGAGTGTGGCCCAAAGGGGCCCTTGGCAGAGGCGCTACTAGTTTTGGGGACCTGTGACCCCTCTAAGCTTGGAGCCAGACCCTGCTGCCCCCTTTTGTTCTGACCGTGGGACCGGACGGAGATGAGTACAGGGAGCGGCCTGGCCTCAAGCAATGGGACTTTTCCCCCGAGCAGTGGGGCCTTTCCTGAAATGGGACTACCCAGGATGGGACCCCTGCGGTCTCTGTTCTCGGCTTTGGCTGCTCCATCAGTGGTGCCCAGGAAAACGCAGCCCCTCACCCCACCCAGCTCTTCCACTGTCCCATCCTCAACCCTGCACGACAATAACTTCTTGGCCCCCAGTGCATGTGTCCCAGTGGGCCACCTTGCCTGATCCCAGGTTCCACAGTGGTGGTTGTTGGAACCCCCCTGAAAGAGGAGAAACCCCTGAGAGCCGTATGGATGCCTCTTGTCCCCTCTGCTGCCCACCTGTGTCATTTTTGAAATCCCCATGAGGACCCATCACCCCGAACGTGACACTTTGGTTCTGAGATCCAATTGGCATCTGCTGGAAGCTGAGCCCGCGCCTGACCCTCTGTCGTGTAGCACCACGGCTTCTGGGGGTCGAGGCATCCGTTGCTGGGGGCCCCCCGGAAAGGGCTGTCTCCTGGGGTCAGGAGTGATAGAGTCCGGGTACCCGGGGCAAACCTGTTTCCTAATGATGTTTGGGGTTCTGATTTGGTTTTGTTTTACAGCTTCGTGACCCAAAGTCTGTTGGGGTGGACACCAAGTCCACCTAGTCCAGAACAGGAGTGAATGTGAGAGCTGATTTTGTATCCCAACAGCAGCCTGTGGTGTGTGACTCTCTTTCCCGTCACCTGGCCTCACCTCTACTCTCTCCTCACACCTGCAGGTGCGAAGGGCCTGCTTGTCCTCACACGTGTTTGCCAGCTCTTCCCCAGATAGGTCCCCAGATGAGTCCCCAGGGGCTCTGGCAGCCTGAGGTGGCTGAGAGGGGCATCCTAGTGGGTCAGCACCTCACCCCCCCACCCTCCGCCACTTCCAAACCATGCCCAGCACCTGGAGGCCAGGACTTGAGGCCCCCAGGCAAATGTGGAGACCAGGATCAACAGGTGGAGCGCTGCCTCCCTCCAGCCACAGGCACCCAGCAGGGCAAGAGAGAAGGGGTGATACCCTGGGCCTGTTGGCCCTAGTGTGTCTCAAGGTCCTGGTAGCACCACCCCCTCCCCCATAGCCAAGCCCCCCATCCCCTGCTGCTCGTCCTGGTCTGGAGTTATACTTTTGATGCCACGAAGACACTTTGTTTATATATAATGTTTATATATTTTAAAGATTTGTCAAAAGAGTATATTTAATAAAAAGTAAAATGACTTTTTCTACTGCTCACGTCTCTTCTTTAGCTCTGACCATCACCCCCCAAAACCAGCATTGATGTCTTGACAAATTGGTGAATCGGTTCTGTGGAGTCTATTCCTCTGTTGTTTGAATTGTTTACACAGACCTTGATTTTCTCAAGATGCTAGTTGTACATAGGGTTGCAATGGCCCGTGGGGCTGCCAGACTCCCCACCTGTGTCTCTGCGCCCCCCACCCTCACCCACAGCATCACCCCACCCTCAGTGCCCCCTACTGGCAGAGGCTTGAGGATGAGCATGAGGCTCCCTGCCTGCAGCCCCCACAGGGACTTGTGGCAGCGCACAGCCAAGAGGCGGAGGCAGATGCTCTGTGCCCAGAAGCGAAGGAGGCTAGGTGGGCTCTGCTCTGCACTGCTCTGTGCTTCACCTGGCAATGTTTCTGGTAAACAGTTTCCTGTTGTAGGTAGACCTGTCTCAATTCTTAGCAGTTGTATTTCAGGAGGATTTCCCTCACATACTTTGGACATGTTATCAGGAGGCATCAGTCCCTGGAGAAAGACATCATGCTTGGTAAAGTAGAGGGTCAGCAAAAAAGAGGAAGACGCTCAATGAGATGAATTGACACGGTGGTTGCAATAGTGGGCTCAAGCATAAGGATTGTGAGGATGGTGCAGGACAGGGCAGTGTTTTGTCCCATTGTACATAGGGTCACTATGAGTCAGAACCCAATTTCGGGAGGAAGGCCATGATCGAGTCCACTGACGGCTCATTGATTGGCATCTAGGGTGTTGGTGAGCCGTGGCTACGACAACTTGGTGGTGACTGTGGGCTCAAGAGCTGGCCCCATGTCCACTTCCCACACTGTAGCCCCTGAGCTTCCGGGGAGCCACCCCCCACCCCCACTGTCACATCCCCTAATAGTATGGAGGTGGGTGTGTGACCCTGTATGGGGTGGAGAGGATGGTTGCTAGCTGCATCCTTTGGCACATACCCTTTCTCCTCCTTGCTGGCTCTGCTGGAAGAAACTGCAGCTGGGCCTGTCATCAGGACTGTCCTGTGACCACAAGGCAGGAGTAACAGCAGGGAGAGGCAGACATGACAGGAAGTAGTGTAGAGATTGGAGAGAAGCTGGGTTCCTGGTGACAATCTCTAGGCTGCTGGATCTGGCCTTACCTGAAGCTCCACGTCCATTAATGTGAGTCACTTTATCTTCTTTTTTAAGCCAGTTGAGTTGATTTTTGTTGTTGATCAAGCACTTTTTGAAACAAATATCCTTGTACAGGCCTCTGTGTGTTCATGTGCTGGGATGTCTGTGGTGTGAGTTTCTAGAAACGAATCACTGGGTTCAGGGATCAAGGGGGATGTGAATAGTGTAGCTGACACTGCCAGTGCCCTGTCCGTAGCTCAGCATTCACAGCTCCCACTTTTTGCTCAAGCAATTGCGACCCAGCCTGGTGGGGTTCCCCTCAGGAGCACAACCCAAGACCCCCAGAGCAGCCCTTCACCAATGACTGTCAAGAGTAAACCAAAAAAACCCATTGCCTTCAAGGCAATTCCAACTCATAGCGACCCTGTAGGACAGAGTAGAGCTGCCTCATATGGTTTCCAAGGAGCACCTGGTGGAGTCAAACTGCTGACCTTTTGATTAGCAGCTGTAGCTCTTAACCACTACGCCACCAGAGTTTCCACTGTCAAGAGTAGGAGGGTGAACCCCTGGCTGCCTCACCCCTTGGTGGGGCCACTCGGAGGTGTGCCTCTATGCTGTCTCCTGGAGGTCCCCATCGGGAGGGTTGCCCGGTGTCACCTGCTCTTTGGCGCCCCCTGCAGGGTTCCTTCTCTCCCTGCCTAACGTCCCCAGCCCCCACTGGCGCTTCCTGGAGTCCCTCCCAGATACCCTACATGCCCTCAAGTCCTTTTCTCAAGGTTAGCGTCTCAGGGAGTTGATCCATAGATGAACAGAAACACCAGCTATTCCTGCCAAGAGAGCTTACTGATTTACTCCACCCACTTTCAGCAACAACCAATTCTCGTCCTTTGATCTTTGCTAATCTGACAACAAGTAGTCTCACAATTTTAAACTACCTGGGGTGTGTTTTGTTTTTTGGTCTCCATCTTGGAGATCTGTCCTTGTAAGATCAGTTAAATTGTTCCTGTTCTTACCAGTTGTGTATTGTTCATAGTTTCTTTACTACCCAATGGCTGGGCGTTTGGCTTGTTACCAGTCTTAAACTGTGAGAAATTATGCTGTGGTTGCTGCCTACCGGGTAAGAATTTCCCTGGAACGTGTCCTGCCTGGCCATGGGGCCGCCTCAGTGAGGTCCTGTCGACTCTCCTGAATGACTGGCGCAGGCGCCTGCAGGGTTTGATAGCACCTCCTGCCTGATACCTGGTGGGGCCCGACTTTGCCACTGCTGCCTGTTGGTGAGTGATGTGGTATCACGGTGCAGTTTTAGTTGGCATCTTTCTGTGATTTCCAGTGAGGCTGGCACTTCTCCATGATCACTGCTGTGTATTTTGCCTCTCTGAGCCATCACTCTTCAGGATGTCTCGGTCCTGGGACCCCAGTCCTGGCAGGACAGGTAAGAGACGGTCATGAGTAACATGGACAGGTTATTGTGTGATGGGTCTGCTGAGCCCTTATGAGATGATAATGGGTATGACATCAGTAAATTGGAGAAGCTCAGGGCCCTGGCTTCTTCACGCAGGACCCCTCAGAACATCATGGATGAGGAATGAGGCTCTGGTTGTCGGACAGAAGCACCTGGAGTTGAGGAGAGGGGGTGGTGCCCATTGGGGAAGATCAGGGACTCCTGGGGGACAACCGTGAGTGTTGGACAGCAGCCCAGGAGCCTGGCAGTGGGAGCCACAGCAGATGTTTGAGCAGGGGAGGACTTGAGGGGGTAACAGGGAAGAACTGGAATGGGATCCAGGTGAGAGGCAGGACACAGGGTCTGCGTGCTCAGAAAGTTCCAGAGGACTCAGGATGGGCTGTGGGGCAAGAGTGGTCTCCCCGGCCCACTGCCCCTTGATTCCATGTGATCCTGGTCCCAACCTTTGCTGGGCAATGCTGACCCAAACTGAGTCTGTACTTTGTGTGGTCCTAGAAAACCTTCCCCTCCTGGTCATTCCTAATTACTCTCGTACTCCCTGTCGATGCCCGCGTCCACACCATGGTTTTAATGGTGCTTGCTGTGTTAGAGCCAGTGTTTTCTGGCAGACTGCCCCTCTTCCCATTACCTCATGACCCTCTTTGCTGCTGACTTCATCTTTGCCTCCTGGCTTTGCTCTGGTCAGTGTCTGCAAGCAGCAGCTCCAAAATCTTCTCAGGGAGCAGGTGCTTCGTGAGGACTTGGGCTGCCACATGCAGGATCATGGGTGGGGTCCAGGCGAGAAGGCCCAGACTCCGGGGCTAAAGCTGGAGCAGGCAGGATTCCCGAGGGGTCAAAGTGAGAGGTAGGGGGTCAGGAGGACCCTGAGGTCTGAGGTCTGAATAGGTAGCACTAATGTGACTAGGGGGTACGGGAGGAGGGTGGTGGTGCAGGTGGGTGGGTTTGAGGGGAAGGTCAGGTGTTTTGGCCACAGGCAGGGAGACATCGAGGGGACAGAAATAACACCAGGGTTTATTGGTGCCTGAATCCCTGAGACTAACAGGCTTGTAAGGGAATGAACGAGGGCAGGGAGGGAGGAGGAAAGTCGGGCAGGTGGGGACTGGAAGGCAGGAAGGCAGCAGGGACTATTGGAGCCAATGAGGGGGCTCCCTGGGCCTTGACCAGCTGTTTATGCAGCCTCTCATTCTGTTCCCCACCGGCCACGCCCCTTCTCAACACTTTTCCCATCTGCTGACTTCTACTGAATCAATGCCGGTTTTATTTGTTGCTGGCTTGCTTTCTTCGTTTTTTCATTCTCCCTTTCTTCCTTAACTGGTTTGGAAGTTTCACATCCTATCTAGACTCCTGTGATGCAGGTTTCTCAGCCTCAATACCACTAACATTTGGTTCCAAATGGCTCTGTGTAATGCTGAGCAGCATCCCTGGCCTCCACCGACAAGATGCCAGCAGCACCCCCTAGTGGTATGACCAAGAATGTCCCCAGACATTGCCCATGTCCCCTGGGGACAGAATCACACACCCCCAACCACTGTCATTGTCGTAATGGTAACCACTGAAGTGCTGATTAACACAAATTATCACACTTATCCCCCTGAACCATCCAAAGACCCCAACCAGCCCCTCTCATCTTCCCTATGGAGAGTCCTGGGCGCTGTCCTGGATGCATGGGGATAGTGCGAGACCCACCGAGCTGGGGCAATGCACCATCAACCTCTGATTCCTGAGCCCTGGATATGGCTGTTCTGTCCTTGCTGAGAGCTGGTCCAATCCTCTTTGTTCTGGAATTTTCCAGACTGCTGGAGTGGGGCGCTCTTGTAGCTGGTCAGCCCCTTCAGTGTGAAGCCTGGAAACTTCCCTTGCGCTGTTCCATGAGTGCCTCCCACTTCCTCGGACCTCTCCTTCCAGAGCTCTCATTGTATGGGATGTTTCTTTCCTGCTTTTTTTCCCCCTTGTTTCCCATATTTTTATCTTTGTGTTTTCCTTCTGCAAGATTTCCACAACTTATTTTCCATCTGCTCTTAATTTCCAAGTGCTCAAAAAGAGAAAGGTTCTTCTCGTTTAGTAGCATTCTGTTCTTGTTTCACAGATGCAATGTCTTTTCCTAAAAAACATTCTGGATTGTTTGTTATTTATAAGTTTTCATTGCCCTGAAGTGTCAGTTTCCCCAAACTGCCTTCTTCTGTTTGGGTCTCTGTTCTCTTCAGACCCCTGGTGACCCCTGGCATCTGCCCCATGACTAAGAATGGGGACTGAGATGGCCTGTTGGTGGACCTGAGATGGGGGATGTGTGACTCACCGCTAAACTGGTGGCTGATGGGGAACTCTGCAGTGCTGGTGTCTTTAGGTCTTTGTAAGCCAGTTGGATTCCCCAGAAGTCTTTCATCTTCTGCCTGGAAGGTTCTGGAAGCTGAATGAGGGGGGTGAGGACTGGGGCTTTCTCTGTTCAGCTTTCTGTACGGACACTCCCTCTCCAAGCCCAGCTATTGTGAGGGTGTCTTGAAGTCTCACCCATCCTCAGGGGCCAGCAGGCCCACACAGGTAGTACCTCCAGGCTTTGTGGGGAGATCGGCTGTTTCCTGGGCTGGAGGTTTGGCATTTGCAGGTCTGGTGGCCAGTTTCAGCCCCTCTCCTCATTCCCAGCTTCTGGAATGTTCTGCTGCCCCTTTCTCCTTGACCTTCTGAGTGTGTATATTTTTAACCCCTTTTCTATACTTTTACTGGGGTTTTGGGAAGGGCCAGACCTGGATGCCTGTGGGTCATTCACCTGGACCCAGCAGGCACCTCTTGTTCTTCAAGTCGCCTCCGCTGTAGTCTTAGGATGGCAGCATGCCAGCTGTTCCCAGCATGGGTCTCTGCATTCTGCAGGTCTCTGGTTAGCCCCTTTTCTGAGTGGCACAATGCTGTCTTTGTTCCATCTCAAGGCCCTGGGGTGGACAGCTGGGGGTGGCAAGGGAGGTTTCTCCCCGACAGTGTGCACACCTGAAGCAGGTGAAGGGTAAGAGGTTGTGAATAAGCAGGTGCGTCCCATAGGAGTGCTCTGGCAAGGCACAAGGCCCAGGGTGGGGCTGGGCATGTAGGGCAGTGGTGTCACAGGGTGTGCAGATGGCCTAGTGTTTTACTCACAGGCTCCCACACAGTCCGTGTCTCGTAACAGATGCACGCAACCACACGGTGCTCCTACCACCCCACCTCACAGCGTCCACAGTGAGCTGTGACCTTGACATGAACACAAGCTCCGGGGCTGAGGGCGAAGCCAGCCACATCCCCCACGGGCTCCTCCTCCCTCCCCACCCTCCCTGTACTTGCCCCTCTCTTCCACATAAGGTTCTCATTTCCCTCGTCCTCCCTCCCACCCTTTCCACCCGCTCATGCTCACCTCTCCCACACACCCCCGAAAGCCTCCCCTCCCTTGTTCCATATTTCCTCCTCCTCTTCCTGTACTTCTCCCTCTGTCCCCCTGGTTCCCCACTGCCCCCCCTTTCAGCCCACCCCCCCACACCCAAGTGGCCTGAGCAACATGGAGGCACAGGAAGCTGCCTCCCAAACCACTCAAATCCACTCAGACCCCATTCTTAGGAAGCAGTCTGCTCCTTTATTTGTCCAGAGTGTGGCCCTCACGCTGCTGTCCTGTGGGGATGCATGCTCAGAGAACAGAGGCCGTTGGCTGGGGAGATGGCTTCAAGGTTCCAAGGCAGACCCCAGCTCAGGCACTGTGGTGTGGGGCACACAGTAGCAGCAGGACCCCTGAGGCTCACGCAGGATGGCTAGGAGCCCCCCAGGTGCTGGTGGAAGTAGAGACCAAAGAGGCTAGAGAGCAGCTGGCAGGCAGCTGTCCACCAGACGAGGAAGGAGAGGATGCCACGGCAGAACAGGGGTGTGAGCAGGCCACCCAGCGCGCCCACAATCTGGGCTGCTGTCTCCTGGGCCGAGTCCCCCTCAGGGCCAGCAGAGGCAGCATCAGCTGAGGATGGGACGGGGGGCAGTGTAGGGGCCAGGCCCAGGCCCCAGGAGTAGCCGCCTGTGAGAAGGGGAAGTGAGAAAGGCTCAGGAGGAGCCGGACCCCCAGAGGCCTCCCTGCAGCCCTTCACCCAGAGGCAACTTCCCAGATCCTTCCCTGTGGCCCCTCACCCAGTGATTTGAGCAGCAACGTGCAGTTGAGGGTGAGGATGAGAGGCGTCAGGTACTGCAGGCTGACCACCGTCACGTAGCAGTACACTCGGACTACCTGGGAACAGGAGGACGGGGGCTTAGGGCAGCTCTGCGCCCAGGGACCAGGAAAACCCCCCAGCCCCTGCCAGTGCTATACCCACCACTGGATCTCCCAGGCCTCAGTGCGGCCAGCCTCAGTTCCCCCCACTACCTCAGTTTCCCTCCCCACCAGCCTCAGTTTCCCCTCTGCCTCGGTTTCACACACACATACACCCCACCGATGCCATACCCGCCGCTGGATCTCACAGGCCTCAATGCGGCCGGCCTCCCGCCGCAGCTGCTCCACACGCACCTTGGCAAGCCCCAGATAGGCCTGCAGGTGGGGCCGCGTCACTGCCAGCCTCAGCAGGCACAGTGCCACCAGCACCCAGAGGCGCACCGAGTCAAAGGCCTCGTCTGACAGCCTGCGTGGGGAGGGCGGGGGGCTGGTGAGGGCAGACCCCTAGGACTTCCAGCCCCTCCCTGAGCCTTAGAGACTGCCTCTCCCCACCCTATCTCCCTGTACGCACAAGGAGACGGACGTCCCCCCAAGAGGTGCCTGCTGCAGGAAGTCCCGGGCAATGGGCCTGGTCCAGAGCCACAACACAAACAGAGGTGACAGGAAGCTGGCATGCAGGAGGAGCCTGTGGGAGTGAGCAGATGAGGGATGGGCAGGTGAAGCCCAGACCCCCACCACCACCCCCAGATCCCCCCATTCCACGTGCCCCTGCCCACGTTACTGCAGCCCAGGCCGGTCCTCTGCCATCATCAGTGCATCACAGTGGGTCTGGGCCAGCCGCAGGCCTGGGAAGGTAAGGAAGGCACCCAGCATGGCACCCACAACCGCCAGTCCCACACGGACAGTCAGCTTGACCAAAGGGAGCCTGGGGGGAAGAGCAGGGTCAGAGGGGCCCACAGTCCTCCAGTGCCCTCTCCCCTACCAGGCCGGTGGGATCCTGGGAGGCTCCCAGCCCCCCACCCCACCCTTGTCCCCCAGACTCACGCCCAGTCCCAGCCCTGCTTCTTTAGAAGTGGCTCCAAGTTCCCGGTCATGCTGGCCAGGCCTGGGGAGACAAGACAGTGGTATGGAATGGAACCTCCAGAACCTCCGAGCCCATGCTGTCTTACTCCCAGACATCCATTCGCTCCCCAGGTAGTAACGTGCCTGTGGTGGCCAGGCACAAGGACCACATCATGCTCCAGTTAAGCAGGGCTCATTTCCAAGATTGAGGGAGTGCTCCTGACAGAGACCCTTGACTGTGTCTGGGGGACAGTGGGTGAGGCCACTGAAGGCCTGAGCCTCCTGGATTATTCCAGGAAACTGGAGAGCATGAAAGGCTCCAGTTTCTCCAGGCAGAAACCAAAGTCTTCCATGGAGGAAAGTATCCTCTATTTAGGCCGCCATTAAAAGCAAACAAACATGAGCTCACAACAAAAGATCACCAAATATACAAGGACACAAAAGTTGGGGAGGGAAAAAAAAAAAGACAAGTGTAGTCCCCCAGGGATTTCAAAAATTGGTGATATCAATTATATATGAAATGATTAAAGAAATAAAAGCTGGAATCATAGACTGAGCAACACGAGACTACCTGAAATAACTGGGCAGATATGAAAAGGAACCAAATTAAGCTCTTATAAATGAAAAATATGATTATTGAAATAATAAGTAGTTAAGCAGATTAGAAAGAGCCAAAGGAGGCAGTTAATGAACTGGAAGATAGATCTGAAGAAATAACTTAGATTCTAGCTCAGAAAGATAGAAGGTAGAAAACAGAGACAGGGGGCTAATAGATAAAAAGGTCAGAATAGAAGGTCCAGCATAAGTCAAATTGGAGTCCCAGAGGGAGATGAGAGAGAATGAAAAGGGAGGAGTTATTGGAAGAGAATGGTTGACAGGTTTATAATGGATTACACACACAAAGTATATCAAACTGGATAAATAAAAAGAAATTCATACCTAGACACACTGTAGTGAAACTATAGAACACCAAAAACAAGAGATCACAAAGCAGCCAGGGAGTTAAGATAGATCGCCTACAAAGGAACAACAATTAGGATGACAGCCAATACATACAGCAAAATAGAAAAGGAATAAATAGAAAGCAAAAAGAAGGCAGAAACAAGGCCAACACTGTCAGTAATCAACAATAAATGTAAGCGGACTAAACTTTGATGTTAAATGATGAAGACTGTCAGACACAATTGAAAATATCCAGCTGCATGTTGTTTAAAGGAGACACACCTTAACATAAGGTCCCTGGTAGGTTGAAAGAAAAGGGATGTTACAAAGATAATAAATACTAATCAAACGAAAGCTGGAAAGGCTATATTAATAACATACAACACAGACTAGGACAAAAGCATCGTTAGGGACAGAAGAAGTCAATACATAATAATAAAAGGGCTGATTCACCAGGAAGATATAGCAAATATAAATTTGTAAACACCTTGTAAAATAGCCTCAAAATGTATAAACAAAACACAGAACTATCTGTAGAAACTGAGAGCCCTACTAATGGACCACAACTACCACTGCCTCCACCAGTCTGAGTCCAGCACAACTTGATGGTGCCTGGCTACCACCACCAACTGCTCTGACAGGGATCTCAATAGAGGCTCCCAGACAGAGCTGGAGAAAAATATAGAACAAAACTCTAACTCACTGGTCTGACAGAGACTGTAGAAACCTTGAGAGTATAGCCCTCGGACACTCTTTTAGCTCAGTAATGAAGTCACTCCTGAGGTTCACCCTTCAGCCAAAGATTAGACAGGCACATAAAACAAAACAAGACTATATGGGCACACCTGCCCAGAGGCAAGGACGAGAAGGCAGGAGGGGAAAAGAAAGCTGGTAATGGGGAGCCCAAGGTCGAGAAGGGGAGAATGCTGATATGTCATGAGGTTGGCAACCAACGTCACAAAACAGTATTTGTATTAATTGTTTAATGAGAAACTAATTTTCTCTGTAAACCTCCATCTAAAGTACAATTTTGAAAAAACCCTATGGAGCACAGTCCTACTCTGACACACGTGGGGTCACCATGAATCGGGTCCACTCAACAACAACAACAAAAAAAGACATTGCGAGCCCGACCATCCCAGAGGGAGATTATCCCCTCAGGGACTGATATGTCAAAGAGATAAAAAGAAAGTAAGGAGATTTGAATGTACTGGATATATAAAATCCTGTACCAATCAGTGAATATATATTCTTAAAGAACACTGGACTATTCACAAAAACTGATCACATCCTAGGCCAAAAAGCAAATCTTAACAAATTTCCAAGAAATCTATTAAAATAGATCATCTTCCATAACCACAGTGCAGTTAAACTAGAAAAGTTTTTTTTAATTCTGTTTGAAATTTTTAAAACACTTATATATGACTCACAGGTTAAAGAAGAAAACAGAAACTTTAGAACACCCAGAGCTGAATAATAATGAAAATACAAGTCAAAACTTAAGGGATAGTTTATCAACAATGTGAGGAGACAACCTACCAATTGGAAGAAAGATTTTGGGAACCATATATCTATCTGATAAGAAGCCCCGGTGGTGCAGTGGTTAAAGCGCTCAGCTGCGAACCAAAAGGTCGGCAGTTAAACCCCACCAGCCACTCCGTGGAAGAAAGATGTGGCAGTCTGCTTTTGTAAAGATTTACAGTCTTGGAAACCTTATGGGGCAGTTCTACTCTGTCCTATAGTGTCACTATGAGTCAGAATTGACTTGGTGGCAGTGGGTTTGGTTTTGGTTTTATATCTATCTGATAAGGGTTTAATATCTAACATATATAAAGAACTCCCACAACTTAACAACAAAAAGACAAACAATTCAATCAAAAAATGAGTAAAGGAATTGAATAGACAATTCACCAAAGAGGACATACAAATGGCCAACAAGCACATGAAAAGATGCTCCACGTCATTAGAGAGATGCAAATCAAAACCACAAAGGATACCACTTCATCCCCAGTAGGATGGCTATGAGGGGCAGAAAAAAAAGACAGAAAATAACAGGTGTTGGCAAAGAGATGGAGAAATTGTATCCCTCATCCATTGCTGGTAGGAATGTAAAATGGTACAGCTGCTGTGGAAAACAGTTTGGCAGTTCCTCAAAAAGTTAAACATAGAATTACAATGTGACCCAGCAACCCTAATCTAGGTATACACCCAAAAGAATTGAAAGCAGAAACAAACAGAAACCTCTACACCATTGTTCATTGCAGCACTATTCACACTAGCCAAAAGGTGGAAACAACATAAATGTCCATGAACAAATGAATGGATAAACAAAATGTGGAACGTACATACAATGCAATATTACTCAGCCGTAAAGAAATGAATGAACCTTGAAAACATTATGCTCAGTGAAATCAGTCAGTCACCAAAGGACAAATATTATATGATCCCATTTATACGAAATAGGAAAATGTATAGAGACCAAAGTTTATTACTGGTTACCAGAGGTGGTTATCAGGAGCGACCAGTCCCTGGAGAAGGACATCATGCTTGGTAAGGTAGAGGGTGAGCGAAAAAGAGGAAGACCTTCAGCGAGATGGACTAACACAGTGGCTGCAACAATGGGCTCAAACACAGCAACGACTGCGAGGATGGCGCAGGACCAGGCAGTATTTCATTCTATTGTAATAGGGTTGCTGAGTTGGAACCAACTCGACGGCACTTAACGTCACTACCACCAGAGGTGGGAAGGAAGGTGAAAGAGGGAGTCACTGCTTAGGGGACACTGAGTTTCTGTTAATGGTGGTGGAATAATTTGAAAATGGATAGTGGAATGGTGATGGTGTGGGGGCAGAGTCTGACCTCCTCTAACTTCACAAGGGGGAAGGAGAATCAAGATCAACAGCCCAAGGCTGATTCCTATGAGGCGGAGGTCAGACATGCCTCCTCTCTCTGTCATCTTTACCAACTCTGACACCAACTGTCCCTCCCACAGCACCTCTACTGGGTTCAATAATTCTTTGCAATGGCCACATAGAACTCACAGTCAATACCCAGGATTATGCGGTTTATTAGGGAATTAACAGGTTACAATTCAGGCTCAGGAACTCTCAAGGATACAGTTCTTTCAGGACAGCCGCTTCCCAGCAGGCACGCCTCTCCCTGGCCCTCTGCCTCTGCCCAAAGGCAGTCAGCTTTCTCTCTCCATGGGCCAGAAAGCCCACTGCACCATCTCCTGCTGCCAGGTCTCTGCTGCTGAGTCTCTCCTACCACCGCTTCTCACCATCTTCAGCGTTACAGCTCATTCTCTCTCGGTCCCCTGGTTCCAGGAGCTTCTCAGTGTAGGGATCCTGGGTCCAAAGGATGGGCTCTCTGCTCCTGGCTGTTCTTCCTTGGTGGTGGTGGTATCTTTTTTCTTTCCCACCTCTAGGGTGGCTCATATCAAGCCCAGCAGGATAGTAAAACTGATTAATCCTTTCTGGTGGACAACAAGTACCCTATCACACAGTTACAAGACCATGGCTAGAAAGGCCACACAAAAGTGATCCATTGTACTGCATAGTTGTACAACATGATGAACATAATGTCACTTATGTATGTGTAAAAAATGTTGAATTGGCAAATGTTTTGTTACATATATTTCTACCACAAACATGAGGGAAAAAATTAAGGTATGGAACAAAAGTGGGGCTAGTAAAATATTTATAGCTCAGATGCTATAAATGTTAGAAAAGGCTAACGAGCTAAGTACCCAACTAAGAAACTAGAAACAAGAAAAGTAAGCCTATCAGTACTGCTCTAAAACCTACAAACAACAAGAAAACAAAGACATACAAATGGACATTTCTCCAAAGAATTACTTACATAGCCAACAAGCACATGAAAAGATACTCAACACCATTAATCATTAGGGAAATGCAAATCAAAACCACAATGAGATATCACTTCACACTCACCAGATGGCTATTAGCAAAAAAACAGGAAATAACAATTGCTGACGAGGTCTCAGCTACAGAAAAGACAAAGAAGGGGAAAGATTGGAAAGGATGAAAGAAAAACAAAAAGAATTCCCAATTCACTAAAAATACAAGCATTGGACAAGGT